AGGGCCATCCTGTTACAGTACCTACACAATATATTATGGTTGTACCCTTACCTACCAGGCCATCCTGTTACAGTACCTACACAATGTATTATAGTTGTACCCTTACCAACCGGGCCATCCTACTACAATACCTACATGATTTATTATGATTGTAACCTTACCTACTGGGCCATCCTGTTACAGTACCTACATAAAATACATAAATGTATTATGATTGTAACCTTACCAACTGGGCCATCCTGTTACAGTACCTACAGAATACATTATAGTTGTACCCTTACCTACGGGGCCATCCTGTTACAGTACCTACAGAATACATTATAGTTGTACCCTTACCTACAGGGCCATCCTGTTACAGTACCTACACACCATCCTACTACAATACCTACATGATTTATTATGTTTGTAACCTTACCTACTGGGCCATCCTGTTACAGTACCTACACAATATATTATAGTTGTACTCTCACCTAACGTGCCATCCTGTTACAGTAACTACACGATATAGTATAATTGTACCCTTAACTACCGGGCCATCCTGTTACAGTACATACACAATATATTATAGTTGTACCCTTACCTACCAGGCCATCCTGTTACAGTACCNTGATAGATACACCAGACACATTACACGAGATAGGATAGATACACCAGACACAACACACGGGACAGGATAGATACACCAGACACAACACACGGGACGGGAAGACAAACAATAAATGACAAATATACCAGCCCAGACAATCGGGAAAGCATACCTGCCCAGACAAACGGGAAAGCATACCTGCCCATACCAACGGGACGACATAACTACCATGCCAAAAAAATGGAACTACACACAATTACCAGAACAGCCAAACCAGAAAAAAAGAAAAAAAAGGAAATATTTCAATTTCGTAGTGCGACTTTTCATCTCATACGTGCGACGTTTTCATGTAGTTTCTACGATTTTGTTTTTCTCGTTCGTTCGACAAATTAACTCCAGACTATTTAAATTCTCTATTGCCATCTTCCGTTGCAGAAAATAACCGTTATACCCTTAGTAACAATGATGATTATAGAATTCGTCCTTTCACGCTTTCTCTAACAAATTCATCTTTTATACCTTCAACTCTTCGCGGTTGGAATTCATTGGACCTTTCAGTACGATCATTGCCCTCATTATATTCTTTTAAAACTCGTTAACTTCAAATGTACGATCTCCTCCAGCAATTTACTTAGGTTTCGGTGAACGTAAATTGAACATTTTGCTTACTTAACTTAGACATTAGTGTAGCCCACTTAACTATGATCTTTTTAGAGTAAATCTGGTTGATAGTCCAGTTTGTTATTGTGGCCATCCCTGTGAAAATGCCTTTCACTTTTTTTGTGAGTGCTTACTTTTTAACAACGAAAGACATACCCTGCTCCTAAATTTGAATGCCTTGCATGTTGATTTTAATTTAGAACTACTTTTGTTTGGAAATAGTCAACTTTCGGTAGAAAACAACATAAGTATCTTCAGACATGTGCATCATTACATCAAATCCAGCAATAGATTTTGATAGTAATAATTATTTTTCTATTCTTATTTAAGTTGTTATATTTGTTTATGAAATTGTATTTCATTATTTTGCCTGATTTATTTGTTACATTGATTCTGTCCATTTTGAAAGTACTCTACCAGGATGCATGTCATGAAATCTGTATAACTTATAATTTATTCAAATGCGGATCGATTTCTCAGTTTACAAGTTTAATTTTCTAGGTAACACCCCTCCCCTCCATCACCCCCACCCCCTCCCACCCCACCTTTACATGGGGCATCTATCTTTTTCCGTTTCCCCAAAAACATATACACTATATTTACAATATGTATTGAGGAGAGGACTATATTAAGTTGTAATAACTTGTTGTCAATTTGTATATTTGTACAATAAAATATGTTTAAACTAACTAAAGTACAAACTTATCTATGAACGATTTTACAGCTTTTACTTGGACGATTTTCCCTTCGTGTTTTTGAAAGCGAAGATAGGCAGGTGTTCATTCCTAAAATAAAGAGTCCTTGTGCGATTTTGATTTCGATAATGAACCAGTCCATATGTTATACCAGGCTTTCCCTTAGGGTATATACACAGTATATATATAGTAGTATTTGGCGGTGTTGATGCATTGTTGTACTGGACACTGAAGAGAACATGGAACCAACAGCAACTGACGAAATGGGCGGCGAGGATAGCACGTCAGACAGTTCAACGCCACATAAAAAGGAACAATGGGGTAACAAACTGGACTTCTTTCTGTCAGTGCTTGGTCTCGTGGTCGGGTTTGGCAATGTTTGGAGATTCCCTTATGTTTGTATGAAGAATGGAGGAGGTAAGCCAGTTTGATATAGAAGCTAACAGTATAACATGTTCAAAAGTATACCAGGTGAAACATTTTCTTTTAAATGCATTAAAACACAGCATGTAATGGATACATATAGCTTCTCTTTACATGGGGCATAACAAACGTCACCATGGATTTTTTTCATCTTTACACTGTGACGATACAAGAGACGACATATACTTTTTACGACATACAAGTTTCGCATAGCTCTATCAGTGTATGAATGTATGCACATATAATAAGACATAAATTAAGGAGACAACTCAACGACAAACACTCGTACATGTGCACTTCATCATAGCGGTGGCTCCTAACTTAATAGAAAACTACACATGTGCCTCAAAATGGCGTTTGTTTTTATGCTGGGTTCTGGGATGAGCGGGAGAACAGTAAAGAAAGTAAAGAAAACAGATGATGCCCCAAAGCGGTTTTATCGCTACCACCTGTTGAGTTTAACTTTAGCCGGCATATTTTAAACCATGTATACACTTTATTTCTGTAACTCTATAAAGGCGCCGAGACGATGTTGTCCCTGCTCGTCTCTAAATAGGTCATTCATACATGTACATCACACATTCCTTTCAGTTGGAACGCAAAAACCAGCTTCAATCATGTTTCGAACCGTTTAATAATGACAGTAATCTAACACTTGATGATTTCTATCATAATGTAACAAGTACATGTATTAAACCGCTTCACGAACTTAATGTCGCCACGATTCTAGAAAACCAATCAAATGTCGTGTTACATCTCAAATGAATTATAATTAAATATTAAAAGTGATTATGGTTATTGGTATATTTTGGAACTGACCAACATTTTTCAGGTAGTTTAGAATCGTGGCGACATTAAGTGTTTGGTGAAGAGGATTTATACTTTACACAATGATAGAAATGATCACGTGTTGGCCTATTGTCAATGGCTTCTATTAACGAGTTTTTTACTGTAGAAGAGCTGGTATTCGCGTTTCAACAGATAGAAATGCGTGATGTTCGGAGGAGACGAGCATTGCAAGGACAATGTCGTATCGGCGCTTGTCTCGGTTAGAGGTAAATATGCCGGATAAAGTAAAACTCAAAAGGTGGTAGCGATAAAGTCGATTTGGGGGCATCATCTGTGTCTTTTCCTTTATTTCCCAGAGCTCAGCATAATACCATATGCCATTTTGATGTACATGTGTATTTTTACATTCAGTAAGGAGCTGGCGAGTGTTTGCTATGATGAAACATACATGTAACAGAGTTATCGTTGAGTTATCTCCTTAATTAATGACAATGCATTATAGTTGTACCCTTACCTACCGGGCCATCCTGCTACAGTACCTACACAATACATTATAATTATACTCTTACCTACCGGGCCATCCTGCTACAGTACCTACCCAATACATTATACAAAGTAGTTGTACCCTTACCTACCGGGTCATCCTGCTACAGTACCTACACAATATATTATAGTTGTACTCTTACCTAACGTGCCATCCTGTTACAGTACCTACACAATATGATATAATTGTACCCTTACCTACCGGGCCATCCTGTAACAGTACCTACACAATATATTATATTTGTACCCTTACCTACCGGGCCATCCTGCTACAGTACCTACCCAATATATTACAGTTGTACCCTTACCTACCGGGCCATCCTGTTACAGTACCTACACAATATATTATAGTTGTACCCCTACCTACTGGGCCATCCTGTTACAGTACCTACACAATATATTACAGTTGTACTCTTACCTATCGTGCCATGCTGTTACAGTACCTACACAATATATTATAGTTGTACCCTTACCTACCGGACCATCCTGTTACAGTACCTACACAATATATTATAGTTGTCCTCTTACCTACCGGGCCATTCTGTTACAGTACCTACACAATATATTATAGTTGTACCATTACCTACCGGGCCATCCTGTAACAGTACCTACACGATATAGTATCATTGTACCCTTACCTACCAGGCCATCCTGTAACAGCACCAACAAAATATATTATAGTTGTAACCTTACCTATCGGGCTTTCCTGTTACAGTACCTACACAATACATTATAATTGTACCCTTACCTACCGGGCCATTCTTTTACAGTTCCTACACGATATATTATAGTTGTACCCTTAACTACCGGGCCATCCTGCTACAGTTCCTACCCAATATATTATAATTGTGTCCTTTCCTACCTGGCCTTTCCGTTACAGTTTCTCTCCTTTATACTGTGTAATAAAGTTTTGTCGTTATCTCCAGGCGCCTTCCTGTTACCATACCTCATCACTATTTTCCTGCTAGCCATACCTGTTTATTTCATGGAAGCAGCCCTCGGACAGTTTTCCGGTAGGACTATGCGGGATGTTTGGATCTTTTGTCCTCTTATACAAGGTAAGATTACACAGATTTTACGATGACAGATACCCGTTAATAAAAGGTAAGATAATACTGGAGCCGCGACTATACGGTAGAAGAGTCCATGAATAATTAGTCATCTTGCAGTGCAAAGTCACTGAACAGCGCTTACTTCAGCTTCTTATTGACGCGTTACGACCGTAAAAACGATACAATTTAAGGCGTTCATATGGATTTAGAATAAATTCGCATTCATAAATTGTCCGGTACTTTTCAGTACATGTGTTGACAATGTACACGTGTTCCTCCCGGCCGTGTGAGCGTGACCGTTATAACTGACTGTTACAGGCTTGGGATTGGGGCTGTTCCTGCTTATGGTGCTCTGTGTGTGGTACTACATTATGCTGACCACCTGGGTGGTTTATTATCTGTACCAGTCCTTCACCTTTCCGCTGCCATGGAGTACTTGCAATAACGAGTGGAACACGCCCGACTGCTTCAGTTTCCTTGACGCGAGGGCGCCGAACACAACACTTCTAAACTCTCCACTGACCAACGGGACACTGTTCAACGCCACGTTTTTGTCCAACATGACAGACAGATTCAGTGACAACCTTACCGGAATGACATTTCTGGAGGGGCACAGCTCTGAAGAAGAATTTTGGCAGTAAGTACTGATATATGATATGCCCGTTTCTTTTCGTTTCTGAACATAAGATTTTAGTTGAATTTGATGAATCCTAACATCGATACAAAGAATAAGGTTAAATTTAGTTATCTGAAAATAAAACTCACTGAGGTCGCTACAAGGTTTCGGTCCCAAGACCATTTTGTACACGACCAGATATTTTGGCATGTTCATTGGTCTACATGTAGCCTCTGAGCTGTGTTGACGACAGATATACCATGACTTAAGTTCCCAATAAGAACTTAGGGTATAAAAAGTGTCGATAAGTCAAACATGTAAAAATAATATTTGACATAGATGGAAATTAAGGTTTTCGAGAAGTTTAATTATATTGTTTCAATGCCAGATAGAGGACGTGAATAGTCAGTATCATAATATGTTGCATTACGAGTTTATCGATTCAACAATAGTCCTTTGTTTTTTAGAACTTTTGAGATTATATATAGAGAAGTTAAATATGCATCAAAGTTTTTATTATTTACACAAACTGATTTTAGTGCAGACCTATGGTTGGTCAAGGCAGTCAGTCAGCCTAACAATACTGTCCAATAAATCGAGCTCGTTACCTAGGTAGTTTACAAATATAATTTACAAAAATAACATGTTACATAATAATTATATCTACGTGAACATTATTGTCGCAATAATAGCTCTCAAGAGCTGATGTTCCTTGTTTACCTGTATGTGACGTTAAATAAAGTTTCTTGTAACATTCGGTGACAACTGAATCGTATCTAGCCACAACATTTTAATAAATATCAGACGCTTTATATATGCATACATCCCATTCAGATCACTGCTTCCTTCTGTCATTTACTACCATGGCATTCGACAGCATCCATTGAGAGTTTGACATTTCATATCAATTTTCTATATTATGGATGGTACCTTTCCTTTTAAATATTTTTGCTCACTTACGGAGAAGGCAATTTTTATCAGTTTTAAGTAGAAGACAAACCGTTTATCAGTCCAAAATGCCCTCCAGGTCCTTTACATAGCTCTCTTAGAGAAACCCATTTTTTACAAAACCATGTATATATGTAAATGCGTACTTGTCCTTTAATGTCACATATCTATTTCTGTCTAGTAATGCTACATATCTGTTAGTATGAGAGACGTTTCTAACTTAAGCACATGTCTGTAAATGTTCATACCTATTAAACTTGCTACGTACATTATGTGTATTATATTTTGTTTTTGTATTAATTAAAAACGCATGTAGTTTTACATATTTTGTTTACTTATATTTTAGTTTTAAATATTTCTGATTAAGAGTGTTCGGAAAGGTTCAAACTGGTTTTGTGTTTAGTATTATTCTTATAACCTTAATGTCGTTCTACCTTATTCTTTTCTCCGTGTCTTTCCTACATGATCCTATTAATAGAGTATATAGATGATTTCATACAATGGGCTGCGCGCTGTGTTGAATGTGCATAGTAAGTAATTAATTTCAACAAATTGTATTGGACAAAAACAATTGAACAAGTGGATGAGACAACAGGCTTAGCCTATATAAGTCTTCTCCTAACCGGCGAGTTAGGTAATTGACACAAAGCAATACAAATTTTGTACGCCTTTAGTTGATTATCACGTTCTCGTGTCACCTTACCAGCGTAGATGTGTCGTGACGAACAATTAACTAAATAATTAACCGTGTTTTTACATCAAGAAACTTCAGTCTGCACTAGAGAAGTGGTACGGTCGTCTTTCGTGACCCTGATCCATGTTTTTAAGTGTCCTCGGTTCCTATTGTTGTTTTGGCTTTTTGATTTTGAGCATGTGTATTGACGATATTCATTTTTTAGATTCTAATTCAACACACGTGATTCAGGTACAAAGTATTGGACATCTCTTCTGGGTTTCTTGACTTCGGCTCTATCAAGGGTCACCTAGCCTTATGTCTGCTGATAACCTGGATAATCGTCTACCTGTGTGTCATCAAGGGGATTAGGTCTACAGGCAAGGTACGACACACTTTATGATGTAAATAAACACAAAGACGACACCATATTCAATAATGACTACATATATAATGAAAACGTTACAAACGTGTGACAACCACGCTCCCATTCTTTCAACTCACCGTCATCATCATTCCCAGTCTAATAATTCTGTTTACGTTACAGGTTGTGTATGTGACAGCCACGCTTCCATACATCCTACTCACCGTCATCCTCGTCCCTAGTCTCCTAATTCTGTTTACGTTACAGGTTGTGTATGTGACAGCCACACTTCCATTCTTTCAACTCACCGTCATCATCATTCCCAGTCTCATACTTCTGTTTACGTTACAGGTTGTGTATGTGACAGCCACGCTTCCATACATCCCACTCACCGTCATCCTCGTCCCTAGTCTCATAATTCTGTTTACGTTACAGGTTGTGTATGTGACAGTCACGCTTCCATTCTTTCAACTCACCGTCATCATCATTCCCAGTCTCAAACTTCTGTTTACGTTACAGGTTGTGTATGTGACAGCCACGCTTCCATACATCCTCTCACATTCATCCTCGTTCGCAGTCTCATAATTCTGTTTACGTTACATGTTGTGTATGCGACAGCCACGCTTTTATACATCCTACTCACCGTCATCCTCGTTCCCAGTCTCATACTTCTGTCTACGTTACAGGTTGTGTTTGTGACAGCCACGCTTCCACACATCCTTCTCACCGTCATCCTCGTCCCTAGTCTCATAATTCTGTTTACGTTACATGTTGTGTATGTGTCAGCTACGCTTCCATACATCCCACTCACCGTCATCCTCGTCCCTAGTCTCATAATTCTGTTTACGTTACATGTTGTGTATGTGACAGCCACGCTGCCATACATCCTACTCACCGTCATCCTCGTTCCCAGTCTCATAATTCTGTTTACGTTACATGTTGTGTATGTGTCAGCTACGCTTCCATACATCCTACTAACCGTCATCCTCGTTCGCAGTCTCATAATTCTGTTTACGTTACAGGTTGTGTATGTGACAGCCACGCTTCCATACATCCTTCTCACCGTCATCCTCGTTCCCAGTCTCATAATTCTGTTTACGTTACATGTTGTGTATGTGACAGCCACGCTTCCATACATCCTACTCACCGTCATCCTCGTTCCCAGTCTCATAATTCTGTTTACGTTACAGGTTGTGTATGTGACAGCCACGCTTCCATACATCCTTCTCACCGTCATCCTCGTTCCCAGTCTCATAATTCTGTTTACGTTACATGTTGTGTATGTGACAGCCACGCTTCCATACATCCTACTCACCGTCATCCTCGTTCCCAGTCTCATAATTCTGTTTACGTTACAGGTTGTGTATGTGACAGCCACGCTTCCATACATCCTACTCACCGTCATCCTCTTTCCCAGTGTCATAATTCTGTTTACGTTACAGGTTGTGTATGTGACAGCCACGCTTCCATACATCCTACTCGCCGTCATCCTCGTTCGCAGTCTAACACTTCCAGGATCTGTGGATGGCGTTATTTTTTTCCTTAAGCCAGACTTTTCGTCGCTGCTCAATAGCCAGGTACATAATGATGTTACAAACTGATATACAGTCACCATTGTTATCAGCAATGTGTATTTATCTGTATTTGTTATATGTGATGTGATGCTTAACACTATAATAAGATTGATTCACGCTATTCTGTTTGATCATGATGTGTTGGCTGGTCTAACCTATGTTGATGAACAATTTTAAAGGTTGTTAAAGTATGGGCGATGTGGGAAGTCATGTTATGTACTAAACTATATCTCGTGAAATTATTGTATGATTGCATGCATTTTCCAGTGGAGTTGACATATAAAAATCATCAGCAGAAGTCTGAAGGGTGCTTAAAAACTACCGACTATTTCTTGTATCTCAATCATTTTGAAACACATGTTATAAAAGAAATTGTCAAAATTGAAATACAGTTTAAACCAATTCTACAGTTTGAACAGCTGACTGTGGTTACTTTAACTGGTTATTATGGAGAGCGACTGGACAGGTAGATCTGCACTGAAATCTCACTATCTCTTGTCACAAAAAGTGAAGCTTCAATATACATGTAACAGTATACCTGGTTATAACGATAACATTACAGGTTGTGTACGTTATAAAGATATGTATATACAATGTATATATCCCTTGCAATCTTGTCTATCCATATCAATAAGTCTTTCTCTAATAACATTATAACACAAATCATCATTTATTTCTGTTTCCCATATGTACCCTAGGCCAATTATATATAAAACATTTGTTTATGTTCAAAACCCGTTTATCCTTATTCTCTAACATATCTTTATAACATGCTTGCAAAATACAATTATTAGTTCTCTTTAACTTAATCCAATATTTAATCATTCTTAACTTTCTTACCAATGACAATGGATACCTTCTAAGTTCTAAATAAACCTTAATATTATAGTGTACAAGTATTTTTTTTCTTACGCCCAGCAGTCGTTTACAAAACAAAGTATGATTTCCAATATCTGGGGCCCCATATTTCCGAAGCGTAGCTTAGAATGTTATTTACATACGTATCAAAAACTGATAATTGAGTTTTAATATTAAGAAAAACGTTTCCGACATACATTCATAATAAAGCCTTTCTACACTGATCTGCAATTTTTTGTCGTGTTTTTCTAAAGGTTCCATTGTAATTTAGTAAGATTCCTAGGCAGTTAACTTAATTTACAATTTCATTGTATTTCCAACATTCATTACTTCTCGAAACACACGAATTGTTGTTTTATCCGTACTGACTGTTAGAATAAGATCCCATTTTTTGTGTACAATTCTAAAGAATTTAACATATCTTGCAGACCCCCTGGCGTTACTGGGGGTCATAAAGGTATTCTACTGTTATATAAATACAAATCTCTTATTTCTGTATTTACTTAGGTACATGAATTGTTTACAGGGGCCATAAAGGTTTTCTACTGTTATAAAATTACAAATCTCTTATTTCTGTATTTACGTATGTGTGGTTTCTGGGGGCCATACAGGTATTCTACTGTTATATAACTACAAACCTCGTATTTCTATATTTACGTAGGTATGGTTTCTTGGGCCATACAGGTATTCTACTGTTATATAACTACGAACCTCGTATTTCTATATTTACGTAGGTATGGTTTCTGGGGCCATACAGGTATTCTACTGTTATATAACTACAAACCTCGTATTTCTGTATTTACGTAGGTATGGTTACTGGGGGCCATACTGGTATTCTACTGTTATATAACTACAAACCTCGTATTTCTATATTTACGTAGGTATGGTTACTGGGGGCATACTGGTATTCTACTGTTATATAACTACAAACCTAGTACTTCTATATTTACGTAGGTATGGTTACTGGGGGCCATACAGGTATTCTACTGTTATATAACTACAAACCTCGTATTTCTATATGAACGTAGGTATGGTTACTTGGGGACATACTGGTATTCTACTGTTATATAACTACGAACCTCGTATTTCTATATTTACGTATGTGTGGTTTCTGGGGGCCACACAGGTATTCTACTGTTATATAACTACGAACAGCGTATTTCTATATTTACGTATGTGTGGTTTCTGGGGGCCATACAGGTATTCTACTGTTATATAACTACGAACCTCGTATTTCTATATTTACGTATGTGTGGTTTCTGGGGCCATACAGGTATTCTACTGTTATATACCTACGAACCTCGTACTTCTATATTTACGTAGGTATGGTTACTAGGGGACATACTGGTATTCTTCTGTTATATAACTACAAACCTCGTATTTCTGTATTTACGTAGGTATGGTTACTGGGGGCCATACTGGTATTCTACTGTTATATAACTACAAACCTCGTATTTCTATATTTACGTAGGAATGGTTACTAGGGGCCATACTGGTATTCTACTGTTATATAACTACAAACCTCGTATTTCTATATTTCCGTAGGAATGGTTACTAGGGGCCATACTGGTATTCTTCTGTTATATAACTACGAACCTCGTATTTCTATATTTACGTATGTGTGGTTTCTGGGGCCATACAGGTATTCTACTGTTATATAGGTACACATCTCTTATTTCTATATTTACGTATGTGTGGTTTCTGAGGCCATACAGGTATTCTACTGTTATATAAGTACATCTCTTATTTCTATATTTACGTATGTGTTGTTTCTGGGGGCCATACAGGTATTCTACTGTTATATAAGTACACATCTCTTATTTCTATATTTACGTATGTGTGGTTTCTGGGGGCCATACAGGTATTCTACTGTTATATAGGTACACATCTCTTATTTCTATATTTACGTATGTGTGGTTTCTGGGGGCCATACAGGTATTCTACTGTTATATAAGTGCACAGCTCTTATTTCTATATTTACGTATGTTTGGTTTCTGGTGGCCATACAGGTATTCTACTGTTATATAACTACAAACCTTTTATTTCAATATTTACGTAGGTATGGTTACTAGGGGACATACTGGTATTCTTTTGTTATATAACTACAAACCTCGTACTTCAATATTTACGTAGGTATGGTTACTAGGGGACATACTGGTATTCTACTGTTATATAACTACAAACCTCGTATTTTTGTATTCTATAGGTGTGGGTACAGGCGGCTATACAGGTATTCTACTTTTATATAACTACAAACCTCGTATTTTTTATTCTATAGGTGTGGGTACAGGCGGCTATACAGGTATTCTACTGTTATATAACTACAAACCTCGTATTTTTTTATTCTATAGGTGTGGGTACAGGCGGCTATACAGGTATTCTTCTGTTATATAACTACAAACCTCGTATTTCTATATTTACGTAGGAATGGTTACTAGGGGACATACTGGTATTCTTCTGTTATATAACTACAAACCTGTTATTTCTATATTCTGTAGGTGTGGGTACAGGCGGCTGTACAGGTATTCTACTCGATGGGTATTGGATGGGGTATCCACATCACCTTATCCAGCTTCAACAAGTTCAACAATAACTGTTACACGTAAGTTCGTAGCTGGTTACTTATTCCTTTTATTGTCAAAACTAGACGTCGCTGTAGTGTATTACCATACTATTGTATACGGTTTTATTAACTCATCTAAATATTGCTTTGGTGTATGAGCATGCTATAGTTCAAGTTCAAGTTCTTCATTACCTTGGTTATTTTACCCATCGGTGTCAAAAGTGAGACATATTTACAATATTTACAGACAATACAAAACAATACAATACATGCAATACATACAATACAATACCAGCAATGTACAAACAGTTTGGAAAGTGTAACAAATTAAGTTAATTGGTTTTTCTTACATTTGCCGCTTTTATACTTTTGGCCAAATTGACAAATCATTTTATCATTTTAAACATACCTGGGGGTTTTACATAGTAATTTTTCATAAAAAAAAACACGCAAATCCGAATAACATGGACATTTCAGCATAAAATAAAACTCGTCTTCAACATCATTTAAATTACATGCAATACACACAGTAAGACTACGTTCAATATTTTCATATCTACCTTTTTCTATATTTAAATTATGAGTAGATAACCTATTTTTTTTAATCTCTTTCAAATATTCTCTAGTTGATGGTTTTCTTAAGTTAATCAAACTGGTTATAAAGATATGTATATATATATCCCTTTTAAGATGTTCTTACTTTTTCTCTGCATTCTTGTCTATCCATATCAATAAGTCTTTTTCTAATAACATAATATTACATATCATCATTTATTTCTGTTTCCCATATGTAACCTAGGCCATTTATATAGAAAACTTTTTTATGTTCAAAACCCATTTATCCTTATTCTCTAACATATCTTTATAATATGATTGCAAAATACAATTATTAGTTCTCTTTAACTTAATCTAATATTTAATCATTCTTAATTTTTTTACCAATGACAATGGATACCTTCCAAGTTCTAAATAAACCTTAATATTATAGTGTACAAGTATTTTTTTTCTTACGCCCAGCAGTCGTTTACAAAACAAAGTATGATTTTTTTCAATATCTGGGGCTTTATGAAAGCCCAATATTTCCGAACCGTAGCTTAGAATGCTATTTACATACGTATCAAAAAACTGATAATTGAGTTTTAATATTAAGAAAATCGATTCCGACATACATTCAAAACTGAGAACAAAGCCTTTCTACACTGATCTGCAATTTTTTGTTGTGTTTTTCCAAAGGTTCCATTGTAATTTAGTAAGATTCCTACGCAGCTAAATTCATTTACAATTTCTAGTTAGGGCCCCGTATCGGAGATACGGGTGCCCTATAGTANAACCATTGTATTTCCAACATTCATTACTTCTCAAAATACCCTCATTTCGAAACACACGAATTGTTGTTTTATCCGTATTGACTGTTAGAATAAGATCCCATTTTTTGTGTACGATTCTAAAGAGTTTAACTTATCTTGCAGACCCTCTGTCGTTTTTGACAAAAATCACCATTTCGTCTGCGTGCATCAAAAGGAACACATTCAGTGTTTGAATTTCTATCGACTGACAGTTGTCGATTAAAAATTGCATTTCTCAATCTTTCAAATTTTACCTTGAAACAATCCATTTTCACAATTGAAATAATTTTAAATGAACCATTATGCTTAACACAATATTTAACACTACTATACAAAGACCTTATTAGCTTAATTCAATGCCTTCTTTTATCAATTTGAACCACAAGTTTTGTCTATTGACGAAATCAAAAGCCTTTGTATAATTAATAAAGCAACAACATAATCTTTTTACGTATTAGATTGCTGTTAATCAGAGACTGTAAAACATATATGGTGTCAATAGTAGACAATTTTTCCTTAAAACCAAACTGAGCATCCGTTATTTTACTTAATTTTTGGTCAAATACCACTAGCCTACTATTAATGATTGACGTGAAAAGTTTCCCCAAACAGCTAACAAGAGTTATACCTCTGTAATTATTTACATCTTTGAAATCTCCCTTCTTAAAGACGGGAACAATATGTCCCTTTGACCATGCTTCTGGGAAATGCCCAGCTTTAAGTATATTGTAAAATAAAGTTACAAAACAAGGCATCACCACTGTCTTAAATTTTATTATATATTCAATTAAAATATTATCAGCACCACATGCATTATTTACATTTAATTTCTTAATTGCACCAAATATATCTGCTTCTGATATATTAACGCCTAATTAGTCAAATGTTACATTCTTGCAGAAAATAATTAACATTAGCATCAATAGGTGGTTCGGTTGAAGCTAATTTATGAAAATGGTTGAAAAAATCAGTATCATTCGAATCGCTCTTAACCTTGAAATGTGTATAAAAAAACTCTTGGGATTATTTTTCTCATGTAATTGAGCATGTTGCCTTGTTGACACTTATATTCTTTATTTAATAGTGTCACCTAGAAATGATGTTATACATGCATATAGCCGGGAGATACCATTCTTTACAGCACGTTGCTCGATTTGTTATATTGTCGTGCCTATTTTAGAGTATGGACACACCTTGCTAAAATGATATGTAACAATTATATTCTAATCATCCTACACATCACAGAGACGCCTTCATGCTGACAATAATCGGGGAAGCGACGAGTGTTTTTGCGGGATTGGTCGTATTTTCTGCTCTAGGATTCATGGCCCACAAAGCTCAGATGCCTGTTGCTGATATTGTTAAATCTGGTAAGACAACGCAACGGGGAAAAAAAATTAAAAAAATAGCGTACCCTGAACAATTAAACTGAAGACATCTTTTTCTCAATAATGTCCGATCGAATTCTTTCTAAACGTACGTTAAATGAGCCTGTCACAGAGCTGACCAAGTGTTGTTATGTTTGCGTACCGGTTTTGTTATTGTTCAGGAGATACGTAATCCAAGATGGCTTAGCTAGCCTCAGATGGACAAGAAACATCTTCCATTTATGAAGTTTTAAATGGTTAATTTCAACTGAATGTGGTTCAAAAGTTGTTGTGTATTGTGGTTATGAGTACAGTAGTGGTAATATGTAGTACTCGTGTGTTACAGGTCCCGGTCTCGGTTTCATCGCCTACCCTCAGGCCCTGGCACAGATGCCCTTTTCCAACGTGTGGGCAGTGTTGTTTTTTCTTGCCCTTTTTACCGTGGGTTTGGATAGCCAGGTAAGTTTAGGTATAAACTCCACCTTTTTACCGTGGGTTTGGATAGCCAGGTAAGTTTAGGTATAAACTCCACCTTTTTACCGTGGGTTTGGATAGCCAGGTAAGTTTAGGTATAAACTCCACCTTTTTACCGTGGGTTTGGATAGCCAGGTAAGTTTAGGTATAAACTCCACCTTTTTACCGTGGGTTTGGATAGCCAGGTAAGTTTAGGTATAAACTCCACCTTTTTACCGTGGGTTTGGATAGCCAGGTAAGTTTAGGTATAAACTCCACCTTTTTACCGTGGGTTTGGATAGCCAGGTAAGTTTAGGTATAAACTCCACCTTTTTACCGTGGGTTTGGATAGCCAGGTAAGTTTAGGTATAAACTCCACCTTAAAGGTAAAGTAGAGCGAAAGCATGTACCGTATCACATACTTAGTGTGGAAACAACAACAGGAACTGGGGAGTCACAATACAACAGTATAAACTAATACAAAAAGGTACTCTGGAAAAAAGCGCTTCCTGATAATACGTATACCAGTTAGAGGTCTTCAATCACGTCCAAGTACAAAACAAACAATGATATCTTAAATCAAACCAGTCATTGTGTCTCTAATCAAATCCTGTTACAAAACTAGTCATAGCGTCTTCAATTGCAACCAGGTACAATACAGACATGATGTCTCAAATCTAAACCAGCCATAGTGTCTCGTGTCGAACTCACGTACAATATCAGCCACGATATCCTATTCCACCCACCATTGTCAAATGTGGGCTGTTTAGAACTGCCATTGGTTCGTGGTTCGTCATCCTTCGTCCTTCGTCCTTCCTTAAACAATTATATTGTTATCCTGTTTCTTTAAAAGTGATAAAGTGATATTTCTCTAATTTTGTATATTAGTTCCCCATACCCTTATTTGTGTGTGTTCAATTTTGAGACAGATCTTAATGAATATATCCGCCTTGTTGGAGAAGCAGGGATGTAAGATTCAAAAAAGGGAAAATTCTCGATAGATAAATCGTCCCGCTTAACGTAAAGCTTTGCAGTGAGCCGTCCCTTTTGATCATTTTATTCAAGTAAAGATCGGGAAAGATGCTGAAGTAGAAGAGTCGATACTGTCTTTGATTGCAAGTCCAGGAGGGTATACCTACCATGGCCAATCAAATTAAAATATTTATTTGAAGACAGCACATTGTGACTGTCAGTATATCTAAATGTGAAATTATAGGACTTGGCTAGGTTTTTGTTGCAAGTCTTAAAAAACTCTGAAATAAATTAAGACTCATGAAAGCGAATAGCATTTCAACCAAAGAGTGGTGCAGTTTGTTCCCATAAGAATGCCTACGAGGTATAAGTAGTGTAAAGAGTCAAACAGCGACACATCCACACTGATCAGTCACTTACCAATAGGCATTTCTGGTGGATATTTCCCTGTTGTTATCCCACTTCAGCAATTGGTTGCTGTTTCAGACTTACGAAATCTCAATTATGTAATTGTTGTATCAAGAAAACAGACGTGAACAGAGAAAAATAAGTCGGTATTCATTTAATTAACTTTCTGCTTTTTCTTCAGTTCGCCTTCACGGAAACGGTATGCGTGTACCTGGAGGATTCCTTCCCTCGGCTGAGCCGTAGGAGAGCGCTATTCAGGGCCGTCGTGGCCGCTCTCGGCTTCCTGATCAGTCTGGTGTTTTGTACTAGGGTAAGTGTCTATATATCGGTTATCACTATAGTTCATTGTATTTTACGAAAACAGTGTTTCGTCGAGTTTCTGGTAGTCATTCCTGATAATATCGCAATGGTTTATAATAAAAATAATATCTATTATTACGTTACAAATTATAAAATAAACATAAATTGTATTTTTATCGACACGTTTAAAAGCCATTAATCCATTAATCATCGATATACATTTTCATTTTTTCCATATGGTGACATTCTTTTCCTTTCCATTTGTGTGTAAGAGACTCGTATCGGAATAATTTGGTCTAATTACGCCACCAACATACTGTAATTGTTATGCCTGACTCCTCTTTTCTCAACCAACCAGGGAGGAGTGTACCTGTTCCAGTTAGTCGACTGGTACTGCGCCGCTTTTTCGCCCATTTTGTTTACACTGATCACGTGTATTACAGTCTGTTGGGTGTATGGTAATGTTCGAGCAGCTGGCACTAGTCTACCAGGTCCAACACACACGTCCGCATGCCCAGACTCGTGCATTTCACTGTATAACTACATCAGATTTTATCTACATTCAGTGTTCCTGTGCATGTGAACTTGGTGTACCCCTGGTAAGACTAGTACCAGCTTTACGGAGTTAGTGAACTTGTAAGCATACCGAAGCGCGGACGCGGGACGTTCGGGCACAAAAACCTCTGTTTTAGTGCAACACGCAGCGAGTTGTAAATTAATTTCGGTACGTGAATCACTAAACCCTATAACACAGAAAATATATCCTCATCTTATGGCGCGTGAATAACAGGTGTGAAAGACATTTTACTCCAGATAGCTGATAAACTATCAAAAGATCACATGGAAGTAATAACTTTGTTTGAACTAAAAATCCACACTGATTCTCTATCACATTTCCATCACTTGACATGTTCACCTAAATTGTACTTACTTCCACACGTGTAACTCACCAGACATTAAGATGAGGATAAACTTTCCTGTATAGTCGAACTTTGAATTAATTTATATCATCCCGTATTTTTCAGGCTAGCAAGAAATAACAGCTCTATGTTGGTAGGAATCAGACAAAATTAATCACATTGCTCTCTGGTTAAATCTATGTCGTATACACAGAAACAACAATTGACATGTCGTCGTTAACTGGCCGGTGCCTTGAAACAATACAGTTTATCAGAGCACAATGTGATGAAAATTGACTCTTTTTTTCATTTCAAATTATATTCATCAAATTAGATTTAAAAGTGTTTGATATTCTAATTGCAATTGAAACTCACATTTAAAATGCTGACATGCAATGATCCATGTGTCATTTATGTTTACGGCAGTACAGTGCTGATTGCACTACTGTTTCGGACCTGCTTTTGATTTATTTGCTATTTCTTGTTAGTCTGATCAACCTACTTTGTTCAGCACGCGCTATCCTGACCGAGGTGGTTTGGGCTTTCTACAAAGGTATCATTTTGCTTAGCAATTCAGTTACATGTATGTATCTGTACATTTGTCAAGTTGGTTGTGACATGAATTCTCCCACACTTCACAAGTGTTTTCCTGATTTCGCTCAGAAAAAAGATCAGAGTGTCTTTTCTTGCCTAAGAAAAACAGTTCACACGCGCTATTATTCTAAAACGTCATCATCATGTCATCACTTTATATAACCTGTAATCGTGTTAGCGTCATCAATTTTGTCACACATTCCAAACCTATAACGATGATTGGATTCACCATTACAACATACATCGACCACAGGAAAATAACTGGTCACTCGTGTGTGTTGTAGAATGAAATCTCAACATTCGGGATACGATTTTTGAAGTTTAGCATTCGGCAAAGCTTTGTAAAAAAATATATCTCGATTTACATTACACAAGAGTAATACATATTTATTTAAAATCAATGGGGTTCCAAATTGTGAAATAAGATATGTAAAAATATGGTGGTGTGATAACTTTCGAAGAGACTGGAGATACCATGTACGTGTCTCAGCCGACAACTTTTAATGTACATGTATTTAATATGATGTCATCATAAAAACAAATGGATTCTTCATTTCAAACAAAATAACTTGTATCACATGTTATTTTAACAGGTTTCTGCATGTAAGGTAATTGATGTTCAAACGAGTCACACCAAAAAATCAACGAACCGGTAACACGCTATATAAAACTGTGTGGTATCATCTCAATGTTGTTAAGGTGTACGGTATCGTCAACTGTAAAGGTGAATGATATCAGGGACTGTGTGGTATATTGCCATGTTAAGGTGTGGTATAATGCCCTGTAAAGTTGTGATATAACGCCATGTATAGGTGTGGTATAACACAATGTATAGGTGTGGTATACCGTCTTGTAAAGTTGTGGTTAGGTAGGAATAACGCCCTATAGAGATGTGGTATAACACCTTGTTTACGCTCTGTAACGGTGTGGTATAACGCCCTGTATATGTTTGGTTTAACGCCCTGTAAAGGTGTGGTATAACGCCCTGTAGATGTTTGGTAATATGCCCTGTAAAGGTGTGGTATAACGCCCTGTACATTTTTGGTATAATGTCCTGTAAAGGGGTGGTATAAGGCCTGAAAAGTTGTGGTATAAAGCTCTGTAAATTTGTGGTATAACGCCCTTTAGATGTTGGGTAATATGTCCTGTAAAGGTGTGGTATAACGCCCTGTAGATGTGTGGTACAGCGCCCTCTAAAGTTGTTGTATAATGCCATGAAGAGGTGTGGTATAACGCCATGAAGAGGTGTGGTATAACGCCCTGAAGAGGTTTGGTATAACGCCCTTTAAAGGTGTGCTATAAAACCATGTTAAGATGTGATATAGTGCCGTGTAAAATAGTGATATGACGCCCTATTTATGTATATGGCATTATGCCCTGTAAAGACGTTTGTAATCTGAACCTTATCGATTCAATAATTGGTTGTCTGGAAAAGCATAATCACGTTCCATTGACCTCGATTTTGACATCGATGTTGATGTTTACAATTTGCCTGCAGTGTCTATTAACCTCTCAAATCACCCTAGCATGTCAGTCTATATACATATATAATTTGGCCTGGTACTGGGATCAAACGTTGATGATAGTAAAGACAGAATTTGTTCGGAGGAAATCAATTAAAGAAATTAACTTGCTTTTAAGTATTTTCCTTGAGTGAATAGTATTAACTCGTGATTCTATTGACAATGTTAAATACACACCATAATATAACATGTGGTCGCTGACAACAGCGATTTCACAAGTTCAATGTAAGTAAGAATACTCAGTATAATCTATCATATTTGGTAGTTCGTTGTCCAGTGTCCCAAACACTTTGTCGCACTGTACCACGTGATAATGTCTACAATGTAGCACATGACATTCAACCAAGTAATCGTTGTATAATGAGCCATGTGACTGTTGGAACATTATACCACGTGATCACAATGTAGCGTCATGTGGCCACTGTAACACGATGGCGGGCTAAATGAAATTTCTTTCCTCATACAGGTGCCGACCGATTCTGTCACGATATAGAGATGATGATTGGACGGACTGTGCCGTTCTATATACGTTTCTGCTGGTGCTTCCTGGCGCCCCTTCTCTCTGCGGTAAGTGACTTTAACACGTCTGTCACCTGCCGCTCTTTACATGTACCCAGTAACGCCCGTACTCTCTGAAGCACGTACCTTATAATTGTACTTTGTGACTCCTCTTCTCTTGCCTGAGTACTAAATATTTGTTCTTTTAGCGATAATTTGCCCTGTCGTCAATAACATGTAGTATGTATATAAATCTGCTGTTTATAACATCTAAGGTCTGGGTAAAATATGTAATATGTATATTAAGTATGCACACATACAGGTGCTGATGGTGACGTCACTAGTGACGTATGTACCTCCGACGTACGGTGATTATGAGTATCCATGGTACGCTGCAACCATTGGTTGGATGTTTGCCTGTTCATCGGTCATCCCCTTGGTAGTGGTGGGCGTGTCGGTGATTAAGAACTCCCCCGGACACACCCTATATCAGGTAAGACTCGAACATGGGCAGATGTAGTTGTCATAGGATATCAACACGGAATGATTTTTGCAAGTTGAACGCCTCTACAGGCATGTCTTAAGGAAGCTAAAATGCGTGCAGTGACACTTGACATCAGATGATACAAAGGTGGGCGTGTCCATCGTTAAGAGCCTCTAAGTTGGTTAAGATACACAGCTGCCGAAACCGAGAATTGAGATCGGCGTTAACATTGACAACACATATTCCGTAAAGCCTGTCCTTATACATGTATCAATGTGCATACGCATGTCTTCCAAACTCATTGACAAATGATAGAACAACATCCTGGAAAAGTTGTTGTTTGATTATTCAGGCTTTCGGAGTAACTAATTGAAGCGTTGACGCGATCAGCTTTCACCCCATTTTTCCAGTTCACTTTGCAGCTTTGTTTGGTTTACAGAGAGTCCTATGGTCGCTGAAGCCGACTGAAGACTGGCAACCATCGTCAGTACAGAAGTCGTTTGACCGGAAAGACTACCAGACCAATGACAGGGACATCAAGGAAAGATTCTCACAGAGACTTCTCGCTAACATCGGGCTCCGGAAAGAGGTTGTGTAGTTATGGTAGTTAGGATTGCCGGAAAGTGGATCGCGCGTCACCGCACAATAGACCACATGTTATTGGACATTGCCCCATGTGTCATTGAACAATTTCGATCATGTGTTTCTAGGTTTATAATTACAATGTACTCGTTACTTGACATTAAATAACGACCACGTGTTACAGAAGAGTGGACCACGTGATTCAGAGCCGGTATGCTCATAGTGGGCCATGGTTGTCGGCAGCGGACGACGTGTTATTCTTATCAGCTGCATTTGTACATGGAAGTGATAGTCTGGTCGACTCCCGTCGGCAAAGATATCTGTTCATATTGCATCAGGATTGAGGCTATACAGATGGGAGGTTTTTCATGAAATTGAAATGACTTAAAACTGTTTCCGTAGATTAAGTAGTGTTCACTTTGATATAATCATATTTAATTCAAAATATTTACAATTGCCACTGTTTCGGAATCGATAACGTAAGTGTAGGCAAGTCTGTTTATATCTCAATAACTTGAGTGTAGAACGTGATCCAGTTCTCACCGCGTATGAATATATGTAAATATGGGCAGACTTCTTTCCGCAAACCTACTGTCAATGTTTACAAGCAAACGCTAGCATTTAGACTACCGTGCGTTCGAGATACCAAATGATGTCGGGTTCGAGACAAGACAGATCATGTTCTAGACCGGTCATAAAAATGAAGCTAGTGTCAGATGCTACAGTCACGATTGTTCGTCGATACAAAAACGCTCCACCAACTCCACTCTCTCATCTATGAGTGTCGGCACAGAAACGATGGCTATCGTTCCTAGAAATGTAGGTCAAATTTCTCGTCTCCCAAATGTTACATCATATTTTATCAACAGTCACTCGGTCGACAAACGATTTATACACATCATACAGTGTACATGTCATCTGTACAAACCTCTGGTTTGCTTATTACAAACAGCAATTTCACTAACTTCACATTCAACTTCCACCAGGCCTAGGATAGTCACTGTCGCTACACGACATGGTAGCACTCTCTATTTCCCGCCTTTGGGCACATCACTTTTAAAAAATAAACGTCCGCGGTCATTAGTATTTTCTACATAGTATTTTGCCCCAGCACCTCAATTTCATACAAATATAAAATCATTTATTCCATTACCTACTAATACAATTATTAAGATAGTTATGAAGTTAAATATGGATATTTTATGTGAATAAAAATATTGAAATAGAGGAACTTTTTTCATTTTTTGTCACGGATAAAGTGGGCGGGGTTTAGCTGTCTATCAACGGCTTTTGCGAATGGCTGTTTCGCATTATGGATTAACATGACGTCAAAATAATTTTAATAGCAGATTACACAAGGTAAATGCATATATCCGCCTCTTTAAATGGTTTTATTGTATAAAAGAAAATGATGTAAATATAAGGATACACCTTTTATTTTGTTTAGTTTATGAGATCATAAATCCAATGGAGCACGAGGTAAATTGTTCGTAAACGCGAATTTACCTCGTGCTCCATCGGATTTATTATCTCATAAACAAAACATTAAATCCTTAATTGTCTTTTAAAGAGTAGTGATCTGTATGTGCCAATATCGGTTCACAAGAACATCTCACATCTGTGACCTTCAAAGTAGGTTAAAATCAAATTTAAATGTTAAGGAATCTTACACTACAGGCTAAACAGCATTACCCGACATCTAATGGACCTTTGTCAGAAGAATTCAACTTATTTACCGATGGTACTTTAAACTTGTTCGAGGTCATTTATTTAAACAAACAAACGTGTGATATGCTTTATCGTACTACTCTAAGCCTAAAGACATTTCAAAAAGTTATTTCAGCGTGTGTTTTTCCTAACATATGTTACCCTTGTGAGCAAGAAAGTAGGNGTCATGTATTCGAGCGAAGGTTATATCCCTTTATCCCAACAGGTCATTCCAAATGGAATGGCTTTAAACATTAAAATATATTTGTCCCTGTGACCTTGAAAGCAGACCAAGGTGATTCATCTAAACACACTTTATAGCAATTTTCTTTAAAATACTATTGACCAAACATCATGACAGAATGCAATTTTGTTAACATAAAGGAGCAATTTAAAGATTTTAACAAATTTGTCCCCATCCTTGAATATACTAGTCAAAATCATTTTCTGTTTGCTAACTTTGTTGTACCCTTTCCCCCTTTCATCTCTCTCTCGATCTCTCTTCTACTACCGGCCAAAAAGCATGGCTCTCTACATCGTTTGAACAAACAAACAAGTATTCTCTTAATAAGGTTTGTCCACCATGAGGAATTGATAGATACCAAGAATTCGATATTATTTCATGTATGTAAATTGATTTGTAAACTGTCGTATACTCAGCAAAAGAGAAAGGTTCGCACTTTCTCATGTGAACTACCTTTATATCAGTGAAAATACACGTAAAACGACGTTTTTGTAGTATAGGAATACCTACGAAGTGATACTTTATTGATCCAAAGCATTCAACCGTGAAAGTCTATAGTGCCTTAAGAGCTCCAAATGCGTTTTTAGGAAATCAATCGTGAATTACATCAGTGATTTGTCGAAACCATTTAACGTAGAAGTAACTCAATTGTCATCCTGTGGCGACTGAAAATTTAAATATCATCACCAATACGCATTTTTGTTTTACCGCAGCTATCCAAAGTTTAGTGGAAAAGGGTTGTTGACTTGTTCAATGCGGGAATGGCTCAACGACAGGTCAAGTAGACGATTTGCTGGCAGTACCAAGACAATAAACCTTTCATTGAGTCGAGTGAACCAAACTGGGTGGGCAACCGATTGTCCACGATACGGCTGACCCCGAGTAACGACCGATCAGGTAGACCGCGGGATACGGCTGACCCCGTGTAACGACCGATCGGGTAGACCGCGGGATACGGCTGACCCCGTGTAACTACCGATCGGGTAGACCGCGGGATACGGCTGACCCCGTGTAACGACCGATCGGGTAGACCGCGGGATACGGCTGACCCCGTGTAACGACCGATCGGGTAGACCGCGGGATACGGCTGACCCCGTGTAACGACCGATCGGGTAGACCGCGGGATACGGCTGACCCCGTGTAACGACCGATCGGGTAGACCGCGGGATACGGCTGACCCCGTGTAACGACCGATCGGGTAGACCGCGGGATACGGCTGACCCCGTGTAACGACCGATCGGGTAGACCGCGGGATACGGCTGACCCCGTGTAACGACCGATCGGGTAGACCGCGGGATACGGCTGACCCCGTGTAACGACCGATCGGGTAGACCGCGGGATACGGCTGACCCCGTGTAACGACCGATCGGGTAGACCGCGGGATACGGCTGACCCCGTGTAACGACCGATCGGGTAGACCGCGGGATACGGCTGACCCCGTGTAACGACCGATCGGGTAGACCGCGGGATACGGCTGACCCCGTGTAACGACCGATCAGGTAGACCGCGGGATACGGCTGACCCCGTGTAACGACCGATCGGGTAGACCGCGGGATACGGCTGACCCCGTGTAACGACCGATCGGGTAGACCGCGGGATACGGCTGACCCCGTGTAACGACCGATCAGGTAGACCGCGGGATACGGCTGACCCCGTGTAACGACCGATCAGGTAGACCGCGGGATACACGTAATCGTATTGTTCCTCGAGGACATTTCTTAGTCGTCCTGTCTCTATCCGTACTATCTATACTATCCATACTATCCGAACTATCCGAAACCGTATGAAAGTAGCCCAATTAAAAGCGATGAGCCCTAACACCGAGCCAATCTTGACACAATGTCACAAAACAACCAGTCTAATTGGACCCGCTCACACAGTCCGTAGGCGTAACGCCAAAAGATCAATGTGTATTACGGCCTAAATGCTCGGTGAAGTGTTGCGTCGTTTAATGGAGCCGTTTTGATTGAGGTTGTGTGATGATCTAGGGTGTTATTTTCGTGCCAATCGTACCAGACTGCTTGCAATTTGAATTGGGTACATTATCGAGACGGGATTTTGAGTTGTATTTCCATTTTTATAAATACGTCAGCTGCCTCAATGCATACCAGTCGAGTCAGCAGAACACTTTTGCAGAAAAACAATGCTCAGATGTTGGTCAACAGACATGTCACTGATAGAAACGTCAAAACCAGCCGTCTTACTGGCAGGAACTGGCCCAAGCGTTGACCGATTAAGAGATACCGTACAAGTTCAATGCGACGACGCTGCAACGCACAAACGGTGGTCAAATGCGGTGCTTAACGTGTGACTTAGGAAACTCCGACTTACCCCGCGTAAAAGTGTAATAATATCATTTCAGCGAGGCTTTGATTGATGATAAATAAGTACTATAATCCAACTCTTAAGTGAATAAATCGATACCATTCTGAATACAACTGCAACAAAATCTATACATTTATCTTAGCTGAAAGAAGTGATGACCCTTCCTCTCTTGCTGAGTATCTGTACTTTTTTTTATCTCACAACTCCTTTGTATGACTTTTCTGTAAGCAGTATGTATGACTTTTGTACATGTAAGATGTAAAATAGTCTGTTTGTGGTGGGTTTTTTTTTACTGGGGACGGTTCATGACATTGTTTCTATTTCTATCATGTTTATGGGTAAGATATATACATATTAATCAATTATGTCATTTTTATTTTCCTATAAATCCTACATACCAACCTATTTAATGCTGCATCTGTAAAACATTATGAACATATGATTTTTACACAAACACTATATAACATGTATCTTTTGCTAATGGACATCGTGCCGTACATTCGTTAATGTTTTTTTAAGATCAGTCAAAAATGTCACGAATTTGACCTAATTACAACCGTGTACGTTTCATGTAATGGTTGAGCACACGAATTGTCGACCACAAATGTTTTTTTCAAGCACACGGATGCTAGTTTGACAATGTGACTGTTCACGAGTCGGCACCTTACATCGTTTCCCCGTCCGTACATAAGGTAAGGCCCTGAAACATAAGAATGCAAAGGTCCATGACAATGGGACTACTGACAAATACATACTGATGACACACTAGTATTAGTTTGAGTAAATTACATATTTATTTCTTAAAGCGAATTACAATGTATCTTGGAGCTGGACTTTGTCAACAGACATATCATTCTACTCCCGATTAGCAGGACGATACACTGTTTAGATGTGTGCAATGTTAGCATGCACTTTACACGTCACAATTAAACCTTACAAGATTGACAAGATGGAAATGTTATGGCATTCCTTAAAGGCAATTTACTTTTTTGATTTATGAGCCTGCACACAAGGTCGTATTCCCCCACGAGACAGCGTTATATTTATAGTCAAAAGTACACTGTTTATCTCACATCTAACGATGTTCCTATAATTTACTTTCTCTGTACATTCATGTGTTGTCTGTCAAAATCAGAATTTTACAGTCGACATGGAATGCATTTTTAATTGATGTTTGCTGTTTTGAACGTTATGACACGGGGTGACGACACTACACCTTTGACAGGTAAATACTGTTCTTTATTCTTAGTCTTGTGCTGAAGCCCTCGACTCCAAACCTGGAATTTCTTTTGTCAAACATTACTTAATCGTGTTCCGTAGTAGAATCTACTATTAATACAAATGAAGTAGCTATAATATGTTTTTATTTTTAAATGGAGGGAAAAAAATCATAAATCACAAATCCATCATAAAGTTATTGACTTTCCTCTAATTAAACTCGGAAAGGTCCTGCGTTTCATACATTAATATCTTTATAGTGAGCTCTATTTTTCTACTTTTGTCTGTTCCGAACAAATTGACACGGCGCCACCTAATAATCCTAGTAGTCGGTATGACATGATTAGATATGGCGCAAGTAAAACTCGGGGAAGAACGAGGATAGGCATTGAGACATGCTAGAGAAGTGGGAAAGGATAACGTTTTCTAGGAAGCGGAGATATTTCTTATTGTTTGATGAGCTGCGGCACCGACAGGATAAAGGAACCTTTAACATGCTAGATGTGTGGGCCGATTTGTCCTAAATAAGGTGGTGTCGCCTACACCAGTGATCAGTGATGTGTTTCCAAATGCAATTCTTATGTTCTCCGAAGTGACTGTATGCACTTTTATATGACACGCCAACACGACATTAAATGTATATGTTCATGATGAGTGCGATATATGTTTATGGTTAACTGTATATTTTTGGTGAGCTATATGTATGTTTATAGTGAGCTGTATTTTTATGGTGAGATATATGTCTATGGTGAGCTGTATATTTCTGGTGAGCCATATGTTTATAGTGAGCTGTATATTTCTGGTGAGATATATGTTTATGGTGAGCTGTTTGTTTATGGTGAGATTGTATTTATGGTGATATATATGTTTATGGTGAGATATATGTTTATGGTGAGCTGTATATTTCTGGTGAGATATATGTTTATGGTGAGATATATGTTTATGGTGAGATATATGGTTATGGTGAGCTGTATATTTCGGGTGAGATATATGGCTATGGTGAGATATATGTTTATGGTGAGATATATCTCACCATAAACATATATCTCACATAAACATATATCTCACCATAAACATATATATGTTTATGGTGAGATATATGTTTATGGTGAGATTGTATTTATGGTGAGCGATATGTTTATGGTGAGATTGTATTTATGTCGAGCGATATGGCTATGGTGAGCTGTATATTTCTGGTGAGATATATGGCTATGGTGAGATATATGTTTATAGTGAGATTGTATTTATTGTGAGATTTATGTTGATACTGAGCTATATATTTCTGGTGAGCTGTATGATTATGGTGAGATTCTGTTTATGGTGAGCCATATGTTTATGGTGAGCTGTATATTTCTGGTGAGATACATATTTATGGTGAGCCATGTGTTTATGGTGAGATTGTATTTATTGTGAGATTTATGTTGATACTGAGCTGTATATATCTGGTGAGCTGTATGTTTATGGTGAGCTGTATGTTTATGGTGAGCTGTAGGTTTATGGTGAGCTGTATGTTTATGGTGAGCTGTAGGTTTATGGTGAGCTGTATGTTTTTGGTGAGATATATATTTATGGTGAGCTGTATATTTATGGTGAGATTGTATTTATGGTGAGCCATATGTTTATGGTGAGCTGTATATTTCTGGTGAGACATAAGTTTATGGTGAGCTGTATGTTTCTGGTGAGATATATGTTTATGGTGAGCTGCATATTTCTGTTGAGCTGTATGTTTATGGTGAGATATATGTTTATGTGAGATAAATGTTTATGGTGAGATATATGTTTATGTGAGATATATGTTTATGGTGAGATATATGTTTATGTGAGATAAATGTTTCTGGTGAGATATATGTTTATGGTGAGCTGTATGTTTATGGTCAGACATATGTTTATGGTTAACTTTTCATTTCTGGTGCGATATATGTGTATGGTGATCAATATGTTTATGATGATCAATATGTGTATGTGATCAATATGTGTATGGTGATCAATATGTGTATGTGATCAATATGTGTATGGTGATCAATATGTTTATGGTGATCAATATGTGTATGGTGATCAATATTTGTATGTGATCAATATGTGTATGTGATCAATATGTGTATGGTGATCAATATGTGTATGTGATCAATATGTGTATGGTGATCAATATGTGTATGTGATCAATATGTGTATGGTGATCAATATGT